GTCGTCGTTCGTCGTAATAGTCGTCGTCGTTGTCGTCCTCGCCGCCGTCGGCATCGTTTTCGTTATAGTCGCCGTAATAGTCGTCGTCGTCGTAATAGTCGTCGTTCGTCGTAATAGACGTCGTCGTCGTTGTCAGTGCCGCCGCCGCTGTCGTCGTCGTCGTCGTCGTCATAGACGCCGTGAAAGTCGCCGTCGCCGTAAGAGTCTCCGTTTGTCGTAATAGTAGTCGTCGTCATCATTGTCGCCGTCGTCGCCGTCGTCGTCGTCTTCGTCATAGTCGCTCTAATGGTCGTCGTGGTCGCAAAAGTCGTCGTCGTCGTAATAGTAGTCGTCGTCGTCGTCGTCGTTTTCGCCGCCGCCGTCGTCGTCGTCTTCGCCATAGCCGCCGTAATAGCCGCCGTCGTCGTCATAGTCGTCGTTCGTCGCAATAGACGTCGTCGTCGCCGCCGTCGTCGTCGTCGTCGTCTTCGCCATAGTCGCCGTAATGGTCGTCGCCGTCGTCGCAATTGTCGTCGTTCGTCGTAGTAGTAGTAGTCGTCGTCGTAATAGTCGTCGTTGCCGCCGCCGTCGTCGTCGCCGCCGCCGTCGTCGTCTTCTTTTTCATAGTCGCCGTAATAGTCCTCGTCGTCGTAACAGTCGTCGTCGTCGCTGCTGCCGTCGTCGTTGTCTTCGTTATAGTTGCTGTAAAGGGCGTCGTCGTCGTAATAGTCGTCGTTCGTCGTAATCGTCGCCGTGATAGTCGTCGACGTCGTCGTCGCCGCCGCCGCCGTCGTCGTTTTCGTCATGGTCGCCGTCGTCGTCGTGGTACTCGTCTTTCGTCGTAATAGTAAGCGTCGTCGTCATCGTCGCCGCTGCCGTCGTCGTTGTCTTTGTCATAGTCGCTGTAATGGTCGTCGTCGTCGACATAGTCTCTGTTCGTCGTAATAGTAGTCGTCGTCGTCGTCGCTGCCGCGGTCGTCATCGTCGCCGCCATCGTCGCCGTAAAAGCCACCGTCGTCGTAATAGCAGCCGTTTGTCGTAATAGTAGTCGTCGTCGGCATCGTCGTCGCCGCCGCCGTCGCCGTCGTCTTCGTCATAGTCGCTGTAATGGTCGTCGTCGTCGTAATAATTGTCGCTCGTCGTAGTTTTTGTCGTCGTCGTCGCTGCCGCCGTCGTTTTCGTTTTCGTCATAGTTGCTGTAGTGGGCGTCGTCGTCGTCGTCATAGTCGTCGTTCGTCGTCATAGTAGTCGTCGTCGTTGTCGCAGCCGTCGTCGTCGTCGTCTTCGTCATCGTCGCCGTAATAGTCGTCGTCGTCGTCGTCGTCGTCGTAATGGTCACCGTTCGTCGTATTAGTGGTCGTCGTAATCGTCGTCGTCGCCCGCGTCGTCGTTGCCGCCGCCGCCGTCGTCGTCTTCGTCATAGTTTTCGTAATGGTCGTCGTCGTCGTAACAGTCGCAATCGTCGTAATAGTAGTCGTCTTCGTCATAGGCGCTGGAATGGTCGTCGTCGTCGTCAAAATTGGCGTTCGTCGTCGTCGTCGCCGTCGTCGTCGTCTTCGTCGTAGTCGCCGTAAATGTCGCCGTCGTCGTAATAGTCGCCGTTCGTCGTAATAGTAGTCGTCGTCGTCGCCGTCGGCGTCGCCGCCGTCGCCGTCGTCGTCGTCTCCGGCATGGTCTCCGTGATAGTCGTCGTCGCCGTGGTAGTCGCCGTTTGTCGTAATTGCAGTCGGCGTCGTCGTCGTCGCTGTCGCCGTCGTCTTCGCCAAGGTTGCTGTAATGGTCGTCGTAATAGTCGTTGTTCGCCGTAATAGTAGTCGTTGTCGTCGTCGAAGCCGCCGTCGTCGTCGCCTTCGCCATAGTCGCCGTAATAGCCGCCGTCGACGTGGTAGTCGTCGTTCGTCGTAAGAGTAGTCGTCGTCGACGTCCTCGTCGCCGCCGCCGTCGTCGTCGTCTTCGTCATGGTCGCGGTAATAGTCATCGTCGTCGTAAGTCTCGTCATTCGTCGTAATAGTGGTCGTCGTCGTCGCCGCCGCCGTCGTCGCCGTCGTCGTCACAGTCACCGTAAAAGCCACCGTTCGGCGTAATGGTCATCGTTCGTCGTAGTAGTAGTCGTCGCCGTCGTCGCTCGTTCGTCGTCGTCGTCGTCGCTGCCGCCGTCGTCGTCGTCGTCTTCGTCATAGTCGTTGTAATTGCCGTCGTCGTCGTCGTAATAGTCGTAATAGTCGTCGTTCGTCGTAATAGTAGTCGTCGTCGCCGCCGCCGTCGTCGCCGTCTTCGTCATGGTCGCCGTAAAAGTTGCCGTCGGCGTAATTGTCACCGTTCGTCGTAAGTAGTCGTCGTCGTCGTCGTCGGCGTCGTCGTCGCCGCCGCCGTCGCCGCCGTCGTCTTCGTCATAGTTGTCGTAATAGCCGTCGTCGTCGTCGTCGTGGTAGTCGTCGTTCGTCGTAATTGTCGTCGTCGTCCTCAGCGTCGCTGTCGCCGCCGCCTTCGTCTTCGTCATAGTCGTTGTAAGGGTCATCGTCCTCGTACTAGATCGCCGTTCGTCGTACTAGTTGTCGTCGTCGTCGTCGCCGCCACCGTCCTCGTCTTCGACGTAGTCGCCGTAATAGTTGTCGTCGTCGTAATAGTCGTCGTTCGTCGTAATTGTAGTCGTCGTCGTCGTCGCCGCCGTCGTCGTCGTCGTCGCCGTCGTCGTAATAGTCGACCTCGTACTTATAGTCGTGGGTCGTCGTAAGAGTAGTCGACGTCCTCGTCGTCGCTGCTGCCGTCGTCGTCGTCGTCTTCGTCATAGTCGCTGTAATGGTCGTCGTCGTAATAGTCGTCGTTCGTCGTAATAGTGGTCGTCGTCGTCGCCGCCGTCGTTGTCGTCGTCGTCATAGTCGCCTTAAAGATCGCCTGGGTCGTAATAGTCGTCGTGCGTCGTGATAGTAGTCTTCCTCGTTGTCGACGTCGTCGTCGCCGCCGTCGTCGTCGTCGCCGTCGTCGTCGTCATAGTCGCCGTCGTCGTCGTCGTCGTCGTCGTTCGTCGTTATAGTAGTCGTCGTCGCCGCCGTCGTCGTCGTCGTCGTCGTCGGCATGGTCGTTGTCGTCGTAATAGTCGTCGTTCGTCGTAATAGTAGTCGCCGTCGTCGTCGCCGTAATAGTCGTCGTCGTCGTCGTAATACTCGTTGTTCGTTGTTATAGATAGTCGTCGTCGCCGTCGTCGTCGTCGCCGTCGTCGTCGTAGTCGTCGTCGTTGTAATAGTCCTCGTTCCTCGTAATAGTAGTCGTCGCTCGTCCTAATAGTGGTCGTCGTCGTTGTCGTCGCCGCCGCCGTCGTCGTCGTCGTCGTCGTCGTAATAGTCGCCGTAAGAGCCGCCGTCGTCGTAATAGTCGTCGTCGTCGTAATAGTAGTCGACGTCGTCGTCGACGTCGTAGTCGCCGCAGCCGCCGTCGCCGTCTTCGTCATAGTCGCCGTAATAGTCGTCGTTGTCGTCGAAATAGTCGTTCTTCGTCGTAATAGTAGTCGTCGTCGCCGTCGTCGTCGCCGTCGTCGTCGTCGTAATAGTCGTCGTCGTCGTCGTAATAGTCGTCGTTCGTCGTAGTCGTCGTCGTAATAGTCGTCGTCGTTGTCGTAATAGTTCTCGTCGTAATAGTCGTAGTAGTCGTCGTCGTTGTCGCTGCTGCCGTCTCTGTCGTCGTCGTCACAGTCGCTGTAGTGGTCGTCGTCGTCGTAATGGCTGCCGTTCGTCGTAATAGTGGTCGTCGTCGTCGTCGTCGCCACCGTCGTCGTCGCCGTCTTCGTCGTCGTCGCCGTAAGAGCCGCCGTCGTTGCAATAGTCGTTGTTCGTCGTAACAGTATTCGTCGTTGTCGCCATCGACGTCGTCGTTGTCGCCGCCGTCGTCGGCGTTGTCATAGCCGCCGTAATAGTAGTCGTCGTTATAGTCGTCGTCGTAATAGTCGTCGTCGTCGCCGTCGACGTTGTCGTAATAGCCGTCGTCGTTGTCGCCGTCGCCGTCGTCGTCGTAATTGTAGTCGTCGTCGTCGTCGTCGTAATAGTCGTCGGTCGTCGTAATAGTAGTAGTCGTCGTCGTCGCTGCCGCCGTCGTCGTCGTCGGCGTCGTCGTCAGAGTCGTTGTAATGGCCTTCGTCGTCGTAGTAATCGTCGTTCGTCGAGGTAGAGATCGTCGTCGTCGCCACCGCCGTCGTCGTCGTCGTCGTCGTCATAGTTGTTGTAATGGCTTTCGTCCTCGTAATGGTCGTCGTTCGTCGAAGTAGAGGTCGTCGTCGTCGCCACCGCCGCCGTCGTCGTCTTCGTCATAGTCGCCGTGAAAGTTGCCGTCGTCGTAATAGTCGCCGTTCGTCGTAATAGTAGTCGTCGTCGTCGCCGTCGTCGTCGTGGTCGTCGTCGTCGTCGTCATCGTCGTCATAGTCGTAATAGTGGTCGTTCGTCGTAATAGTCGTCGTCGCCGTCGTCGTCGCCGTCGTCGTCCTCGTAATAGTCGTCGTAATAGTCGTCGTAATAGTCCTCGTTCGTCGTATTTGTACTCGTCGTCGTCGTCGTCGTCATAGTCGCTGCAATGGCCTCCGTCGTCGTCATAGTCGTTGTTCGTCGTAATAGTGGTCGTCGTCGTCGCCGCCACCGTCGTCGTCTTCTTCGTCATAGTCGCCGGAAAAGTGGCCGTCGTCGTAATAGTCGTCGTTCGTCGTAGTAGTAGTCGTCGTCGTCGTCGACGTCATTGCCGCTGCCGCCGCCGTCGTCATCGTCATAGTCGCTGTAATTGCCGTCGTCGTCATGATAGTCGTCGTTCGTCGTAAGAGTAGTCGTCGTTGTCGTCGTTTCCGTCGTCGTCGCCGTCGTCGTCGTCGTTGTCGTAATAGCCGTCGTCGTCGTAATAGTCGTCGTTCGTCGTAATAGTAGTCGTCGTCGTCGTCGCTGTAGCCGTCGTCGTCGTAGTCGTCGTCGTAGTAGTCGTCGTCGTCGTCGTCGTCGTCGCCGTCGTCGTCGCCGTCGTCGTCGCCGTCGTGCGCGCCCCCCGAGGAGCGGGGCCGGTCCCGGCCGCAGAGGCCCAGCTGCCCGAGGCCTCCCCCGCGGCGGGCCCGCGGCGCGCCGCGGCGGGGGCGCCGCCGGCGCCGCCGCCCCCGCCGCGGGAGCCCGCGAGGCCGCGGGCGCCCGCTGGCAGGGCGCGGTTCGATGCCTATGCGATTCGGTGCGATTGCGCTTCGGTGCGATTCGATGCGATTCGATGCGATTCCTATGCGATTCGATGCGATTCGATGCGATTCCGATGCCATTCGATGCGATTCGATGCGATTCCTTCGCTCTGGAGGGATGCCGATGGCGGTTCGGTTCGGCCTCGGATGCCGACGTTCCGTTTCGTTGGTCCGGTCCCCATCCCCAGCCTCATCCCCTTCGAGACCGCCACAAAATTGCCACCCCAGCTGGGGAGACACCCCTCGAAACCCGAAGGGGACGGCCCATATCCCCAGCTAGGGGTGTGAATCGGCCGGTGGGGCCCAGGCCACGCCGCTGGGGATTGGGATCGGACAAACGATACTCAGATGTGGGCTCAGGTTTCCCGATGGAGGCCTACTGGCCTGCCGATGTCCGCCGGTGCAACTTCCCGGCTCGGCTGCCGATTTCCGCCGATCCGATTCAGGTCGATCGCCGATCCGACTTGTCGATTCGATTATGGGCTCTCGTGCCTCTGCCAGACAGCCGGCGGTCTTGCAGTCAATCTGCATTTTGGCGAAAGTGTCGCGCCAGACCTTGCGTCTTCAGTCTTATATATAATTATGTATCTGTAAGTATTCATATATGTATATATATATATATAAGAGGGAGATGGCCGAACGGTCATTCATTGTTCCAGTGTGCGTGGCTTGAGTGGGATTCCGCGGCCTGGATTATGCTTGTTTGTTGATCTTGTTCGTTGTCGTTCTTTGTTGTTGTTGTCGTCGTCGTCGTCGTCGTCGTCGTCGTCGTCGTCGTCGTCGCCGCTCGCGACCCACCCCGCGACCCATCCCGCGACCCACCGCGCGACCCACCCGTGATCCACCCGCGCCCGCCCCCGCAGTCTGATCCGCAACTGCGGGGTGCTACGTATTTGATTTTTTCATTGCGCAGCGCCAGGGAGGTCTCGAGCCCTTCCCTGGGGCATTTTCTTTCGCCCCGAGTCCATTTCTGATGGTCCCCTGGCCCGAGGACTGATTTTTCAATGCGATGTCCAGGGAGGCCCCGAGTCTTTCCCCGGGGCAGTTTTTTCTTCGCGCCGAGTCCATTTCTGATGGCCCCTGAGCCCGGGAACGGCTCCCATGAGCGCGGACTGAATAAACATCACTTCGTATCGGAGATCTGGGCGCAGGGTCGGGGGCAACGTTAGGGAGGGATAGGCTCAGGGGGGATGCATCGACCCCCGTCCGCCCGTTGATCGCCGACGCCGACATGGGCCCGATAGACCGTGCGTTTTCGCTATCGAGGGCCTATCGCTGATCTATTGGCGATGAATCGCCGATTCCAGGTCGATGTTTCCTCTCCAGGGCTGGCCCCCCCGTGACACAGACCCCCGACGTCGTGTTTATGTTTCGTGACGTGGGCCCCCTTTCTAGGCACGGCCCCGAGGTATGGTTCGGGCCCCCAGAGGCCGCAAATGATGAAAATCCTCCCGTGGTGTTCTTTTTACGACGCGAGGGGGTCGGGGTAGCCTCAGCCCACCAGTGCGTCCCGACGTGACCACCCCCGCGCCCTTTCCCGGTCGGCGCCTCCGCGGGCACTGCGGCGGTGGCCGTCGCGTCCGCCGCCACGCGCGCCTCCTCGAGCTCGTCTAGCTTGCGGGTCTCCCAGGGAGGAAGCGAAGGAGGAGGGGCAGGAGGAGAAAGGGAGGAGGACCAGGGGAAGGAGGAGGATCAGGAGGAGGAGGAGGAGGAGGAGGCGAACTAGAACTAGAACTAGAACGAAAACAATAACGAGAACGAGAACAGTATGTTCCATGTACACCATCAGACATCCTAAGAACAAACATCATCTTTCATGGACTCCAGATTTCGCTTCAGAAAATAATCTGCACTTGACCCTGCGCGTTTCCTTGGAGCTTCTTTTTTCGTAGAACCTCCGTATCTCTGAAACTGGACTGCTCTTTAGGCAAACGCTTCGAGTGGTGTCCGTTCTCTTGACGTAAGATGGTCTTAACTCTAGGCAGGGGGCAGTCCCGGACCCCCGACACCCGGATTCTTTCACAACCTCGACCCCCAGAGGTCTCAATCCCTTCCCCGGGACTGGTCTTTCATCCTGAGCCGTTTCCTGACGGTCCCGAGGCCCGGCAGGGCCCCCCCAGAGGCCGAAGCTAGCCACAAATAGCTCTCGCCGTGATGCTTCTCGACGCGAGGGGTCTTGGGCCTCGGGGGTGCAGTGGGCAGGGGCTCCTCCTCCTCCTCTTCCTCCTCCTCCGTCCTCCCTTCCTCCTCCTCCTCCTCCGTCCTCCGTAGTTGGCCCGAGCCATTGAGAGAAACGACCCCACCCCTGCAGGTTGAGGATTGCACACTCTCCAGGGCCCTCTCGCCCCAGGCGGCCATGGCGGTCGCGCGCCCGCATGAGCTGGCATGATGATGGCAGGTCTTCTCAGATTGGTGGGGTTCAACCTCTATGCGGCGTCGCTATCACGGTTGGCAGACATATGAGGGGAATACTATGATGATGTCATCCATGGGGGCACGCAACAACGCAGCAGATGTGAACACATAGAAGATCTGCTCCGTGTCGATCGTTATCGATGTATACGTGCAGGACATCGCAGAGGCCCCCTCGCGACAACCTCGTGCGAGATGACTAGCAGGCTCAAGAGCATCAGATTTCTCCGTCGCAGCATCAAGAGGGTCAACTCAGTTTCAAAGCAACTATGGGGACGAGCTCTTGGACTCCCTGTCCAACAACAAAGTTTCGGGCTCGCTTGCCAATTTCCACCACATGTATTGGCTCGACGTGACTGGCTGCAATCTACTCTGGAATTTTCTCATGAAAGGCGCGCAGTGTCCATGATCTACGCAGATGTCATCGGCGACTTTCCAAGTGACATGGATGATGCAGTCGCAGGTGAGTTCTCGGAAGGGCGTAGCACCCCAGAGTCGGCAGCACTGAGGGGTGTACTGTAAGCTTGGGATCTCGTGGCAGTGAACATCGTCACCATCGTCATCGGGGAAACGGGGGCCAGCCACATCGACCACATCTTTGCTCTGAAGGACGCGCTGCCTGCGATCGCTTTTCGTTGTGTGCACACGCGTTCAGGTCGCAGGCTGCAGTTATATATAACGGTGGCCGCCAGAGATCAGTCTGCTCAGGCCACGGCGGCACCACTGCCTGAGAGAGGCAAGCGTCCCATTCGAGAAGCCCTATATGATTGTGCACAAGTTAATCGCAGAGCACAAGAGGTGGAGGAGGACTACGACCAGATGTCGGAGGAGGGAACGGTGGACGAGACGAGTTGCAAGATCATGCGCGTAGTCAACGAGGCAGCCAGCGAAGTTTTCTGCCCGTACAACAGAGGTCGCTTCGAGAGCCACGCACTCGAAACATATGTCAGGAAATGTCACGCAGAGGAGTTCGACATCGCAGCTGAGTTGTCCAAGCATGTATGTACTCATCTGGCGCCGAACTTTCATGCCAAGGTCGTTGGACGACACGTCAGGCGTGGCGAGGCCTCGCAGCAAGAGCTTCGTGATCGCATCCAGTCAGAGAAAAAAAAACGAAGAAGAGGGAGGACGGGATGAAGGTCGCGGCGGACGAAGAGAAGGAGAACGGTGCCAGGCGGTTGGTTCGAGACATGCTGATCACCCAGCACAAACTCGTGTGAGGACCCCAGAGCAGGCAAGTTCCACGAGTCTCATGGTGGAGCGCAAGCACCCTCTGGTAGTGGCCGTGCCCAACAGCTTCCAGGACTTTCTGAAGGCGAGAAAAGGAGCACCCAGACAAGGACGTAGCCGCCCCCGCGTGCCAAGTCGCCGTTATCGAGAGCACGGTGCCCGCTGACACCTTTCGTCGGATCCAGGCAGGAATGAAGGCGTGCGGCATAATGCAAAAGCTCACGAGGTGGACAAAGAGATGACAACCTCCCCCACCCACGATCGCCCTAGCCAGAAGCAGTTCAACCGCATTACATTGTCGCTCAGAGGATGCTCCCAAAGTACCAGCCGTGGTGGAAGCTCCTCTCAATCAAGCAGATCGAGGAGGCAAAGGGCGGGGGGGACGAGGTAGATGACGCCGCTCAGTGAGAAGCATGGTTGGAATGTGAGTGGGCGTAGAGCAGGTAGTTTGTGAGCAGATGCGCAGTATAGGTGCTAGTGTGAGATGCAGTCGCAAGCAATTTGGCAATTTGGCCAGACAGCTCGGCGGCGGCACGCAATCTTCTAAAGGCCGCGTCGAGGCCACTCCTCGGCCGAGCGCCCGTGCTGGGCCCTACTGCTGGCTTTTCAGCCTGCTGCGCATGTGCGTGAATGTTCTGCCTTCTCTCTGCCTGTATTGCCTTGTTGTGTTCAGGAATAAGATTTCTGTCTTTTGTCCTTGTTTTGCGTGTAATTGTCTCTCAGTGTAGCAGATCATATGTTTCAGCACGTGCGCACTGTGTAGCAGCATGGTTGCCTGTATGGCGAAACGTCGACAGGGGGGAAACAAGGTTTTAACGGCCCCAGCCAGAGCCGCGATTCTTCGAGTGGAACGTTAGACGGCTTGAGTGGCTTGAGTGCTGCTGCTGCTCCGTCCTCCTCCTCCTCCTCCTCCTCCTCCTCCTCTTCCTCCTCCTCCTCCGTCCTCATCCGTCCTCCGTCCTCCTCCGTCCTCCGTCCTCCTCCGTCCTCCTCCTCCTCCGTCCTCCGTCCTCCTCCTCCTCCTCCCCCTCCCCCTCCTCCTCCTCCTCCTCCTCCTCCTCCTCCTCCCCTCCTCCTCCTCCTCCTCCTCCTCCTCCTCCTCCTCCTCCTCCTCCTCCTCCTCCTCCTCCTCCTCCTCCTCCTCCTCCTCCTCCTCCTCCTCCTCCTCCTCCCCCTCCTCCTCTTCCTCCTCCTCCTCCGTCCTGCTCCTCCTCCTCCTCCTCCTCCGTCCTCCGTCCTCCTCCTCCTCCTCCTCCTCCTCCTCCTCCTCCTCCTCCTCCTCCTCCTCCTCCTCCTCCTCCTCCTCCTCCTCCTCCTCCTCCTCCTCCTCCTCCTCCTCCTCCTCCTCCTCCTCCTCCTCCTCCTCCTCCTCCTCCTCCTCCTCCTCCTCCTCCTCCTCCTCCTCCTCCTCCTCCTCCTCCTCCTCCTCCTCCTCCTCCTCCTCCTCCTCCTCCTCCTCCTCCTCCTCCTCCTCCTCCTTCTCCTCCCTCCTTCTCCCTCCTCCTCCTTCTCCTCCTCCCTCCTCCTCCTCCTCCCCCTCCTCCTCCTCCTCCCCCTCCTCCCCCCGCTCGCAGGGGCGGGTTCCCCGGCGACCCGCCGGCGCACGGCGGGCGGGAGCCCGGGGCCGCGCGGCCCGCGGGCCGCGCGGGGAGCCGGGAGCCGCCGCGGCGCGCGCCGCCGGGAGCCGCCGCCGAGGCCGCCCGGCCGAGGTCGGCGTCGCCGCGGCCGGGGCAGGCGTGGGCGGCCGGCAGCTTCACGTCGGGCCTGTCCCCTTACAGGGGGATTTTGGAGATAAAATACAAAATGCCATAAAAATCCACCAAACATACCCCAAAGACGCCCCCCCAAAACACAAAACCTACCCCAAACATGCCCCAAAAAGGCGCGGGCGGGCAGCAGCGGTCGGCCACGCGCAGGGGCAGGCCAGCCACAACTGGGGGAGCTGTGGTCCTTACCCCCCTGGGGGGCCCATCGATTTCGACGCCCCTCTCGAGAGATCGTCGACGCGAGGGGTTCCCCCGGGGGGGTAGGCACCACAGCTCCCCCAGTTGTGGCTGGTCGGAGCACCCCCGGAGAGGTCCGGGGGGTAGCGGTATCAGTGCGTTCTGCTCTCCCCAGAGGGGGGGGGCTGGGGGGGGAAGGCTTTTTAGACCCCGAGATCCTGGCGTTGCTATTTTTCACAGCGGGCGTTCTCGTTCGGCTTCACGGGTCGATCCGGCTCGAAAAATGAAGGTGGGGTCTTGGGCTCTGGTGGAGATTTTCTGCAATGTTGCAAGGTTGTCGCAACGTCTGATCTCAGGGCAGGCCTGATCTATGAAACAGCGCGCTTGTGGCGCACTTCTCACTACAAGGGGGGCCTCAGCTTCAAGCTACCCCCCCTTGGAACAGGGGGGGAGCTTCCGAAGCTATCCCCCCCCCCTCTCTCCCTTTGGTGGGCATTTTTTTTGTTGGGCGGCCTTAGCTCAAGGGGGGGGCTGCTTGGACCTCCTCCCGCCCTTTCCTGGACCAAAGCTTAGCCTGGGCTTCCCTTTCAAAGGGGGGGAGGGCTTCGGAAGCTAACCCCCCTCTGTTGTTCGCAGCTGAGACCGGTTTGCCAAGGGGGGGGGCTTCAAAGCTACACCCCCCCCCCCTTCCTTTTCCAGAGCCCAAGGCCAGCCAGGGCTTACAGTGGAGACCCATGCCAAGAAACGCCCTGCTTGCCTCCAGGTCGCCCTGGGTTTCTTGGGTTTTGATGGATTCGCTATGGGAAGCGTGACGCTCCCACACCAAAAATCAATGGACGTCCTGGGGTCTCAGGGTTCGGTTTCTTGTGAAAAGTTTCTTGTGGACTGGCCTCAACTGTACCTTTCAAAGGGAGGGGGGGGGCTTGGGAAGCTACCTCCTTCCTTTCGCAGCTGAGATTGCCTTGTCAAGGGGGGGGCTTCGAAGCTACCCCCCTCTCCCTCCTTTTGCTGAGCCCAAGGTTAGCCCGGGCTTCCGTTTCAAAGGATGGGGTGTTTCGGACGCCTCCCCCCCTCTTTGTCGCAGTTGAGATCGGCGATCCGTTGGTTTTGGGTGCCTCTTTGGTTTTCGGCGCGTTCTAGTTTTTGGCGCTGTTTTGGTTTTCGGCGCCGTCTTGGTGTTCGACGATCGTTTGGTTTTCGTATCTTTGGGTTTTCGGCGCTTCTTCGTCGGTTTTCGGCGCCCTTTTTGCTGTTCGTCGGGTCTTTGGTTTTCGGCGTTCGGTTGGTTTTCGGCGCCGGTTGGGTTTCGTTGATCTTTTGCTTTGGGCGCTCCTTTGGTGTTCGGCGTCAGGTTGGTTTTCGGCGCCCTTTTGGTTGTAGTCACCCTTTTCGGTTTTGGTGGTTCTTTGGGTTTCGGCGTCCCTTCGGTTTTCGGTTTCCTTTGATTTTCGGAGCTCTTTCGGTTTTCGGCGCTCTGTTCGTATTTGGCGCATGTTCGAATTTTGGCGCTTCCTTGGTGGTCGAGTGTTTTTCCGCTGCTGTGCGCTCTTTTAGATTTCGGCGCATCTTTGGTTTTCGTCGCCCCTTGGTCGTCGGCGGTCTTTTTGTGTTCGGAGCCTTCCTTTAGCCACAGGGGGGGAGGGCTTTCCAAGCCATTCTCCTTTTGTAACCCAAGAGGGAGGGAGGCGGAGGGGGCTTCCAGCGGTGATCGTCTACGGGAAAGGGGCGTCCATGTGGTTTTCGGGGCCGCTCCAGTATTCGGCGCATCTTGATTTTCGGCGTCGCTTTGGTTTTCGGCAATATGTGGGTTCATGGGGCATCGTTGGTTTGCGGGGTCCTCTCGGTTTCGGTGCTTGTTGTTTTTGGTGCCTTGTTTGTTTTCGGCGGTCCTTTAGGTGTTGGCCCCTTTTGATTCTCGGCATCCTAAGGTTTTGTTGGCGCTCTGTCGGTTTTCGGCGAATCGAAGGTTTTCGGCGTCTGATCGGTTTTCAGCGCTCTATTGGGTTTCGGCGCTCCTTTGGTTTTCGGCACCTTTGTAGTGATCCGCGCCGTCTTGGTCTGTTCGGGTCTTTGATTTTCGGCAGCTGTTGTCGTTTTCGGCGCTCTTTGTGTTTGCGGCGCTCCTTTGGTTTTCGACGCCCTGTTGGTTGTCGGAGAATATTTTGTTTTCGGCGTCTCTTTGGTTTGCGGCGCCGCTGTGGTTGTCGGGGCTCTTTTGGGTTTTGGCGCGTTGTTGGTTCTTTGGTTTTCGGCGTTTTTTTTGGTTTCGACGCCTTTTTGGTTTTCGGCGCTCCTTTGGCTTTCGATGTTTGTGGGTTCCTGGCGCCATTTGGGTTCTCGGTGTGCTCTCGGTTTACGGCGCTTTTTTGGTTTTCTGCGCGCCACTGTTTTTTTCTGCGCATAGTTTGAGTGTGGCGACCTGTTGGTTGGCGGCGCCCTTTTGGTTTCCGGTGCGACTTTGGTCTTCGGCGCTTTCTTGGTTTACGGCGCCCTTCTGGCTTCTGGTTTTCGTTTCGTTTTTGGTGTTCTGTTCGGTGGCGCTCCTTTCGTTTTTCGTGCTCCTTTCCGTGCTCTTTCGTATCTCCGTGTTCTTTGATCTGTCACGCTTTTTCGGTTTTCGGGGCAGCGTCGAGTTTCGCAGTCTTTTTAGTATTCAGTGCCAGGGGGACTTCGCTTCCGAGGAGCAGAAAAACAGGAGTGGGTGTGAAGGACTTCCGGCAGGGGAGGTTCAAGGGGGGGGGTAGGGGGGTAGCTAAGCCCCACCCCCCATTGGGAAAGGAAGAGAGGGGAGGGGGGGGGGGGGGGAGCTTCCGGAGCGAGACGGGGTGGCGTGGGGTAGCTTCCGAGGGGCGAGAAGACAAAAGGCGGGGGGGGGGGCCTTCTGGCAGGGGAGGTTGAAAGGGGGAGGGGGGGCAGCTAAGCCCCCCCCAATTGGGAAAGGGAGTGGGGGGGAGCGCGAAAGGGAGGGGGTGGGTAGCTTCCGAGGGGCGAGACAAGAGGAGGGGGCGGGGGGGGGGTTCTGGCAGGGCAGGGGCCCCCCCCCTTTTGGGAGTGCGCCACGGGCGCGCTCCGCTCCCTCTCTTCTCTGTGGATGTGTAGGGCGTGGCCCGGCGGCCACGTTCCGAGGAGGCAGAGGCGCCCATGCTGGTACTCTTGCCTCGTTCCTGCTTTTTTTGGTCGGGGGTGGACAGAACCCCCAACAGTGACACGTCGATTGGTGAATTGTCCGTTTCCGGTTCTCGGGAGGGCGCCGTGGCCGCTATTTTCCGGGTTTGCGCCCGCCAGGTTTGGGCCTCAGGTCGTTTTCACTAAACCACGTTTTACTAAAGGGGGGTCTGTCCATCCCCGATTTGGGCCTCCTGGGAGGCCCTCGTCGCCACTGCTAGGTTCGCCTCGAGTGTATGGTCAGAGCGTGCCTGGGGAGAGGGCTGGGGAGTAGAGGTATTGGTACCTTCTGGTTTCCCCACACGGGCGGACCGCAAGGGTCAGCCATGCGCAGAGGGGGTACGGAGGAGAAGGGAACGCTTCTTAGAAGCACCCCTGCTTCTTAGAAGGCGCGGGCCTTGTCGGTAGATGTAGGGCCGGCGCCTTCTCAGAAGCGAAGCGGCCTCCTAAGAAGCCTTCCCCCTCGTGCTACGACTCCCTTGAGAGCGTGCAGCCAGGCGGCAACGGGTGGACAGCGAACGTACTCGGAGCCCCGAGTCTTCGGGGCTTCGCGCGGATTTCGGAGCTCGCTCAGATTTCTTGGATCTGTGCTGCGCCGCGCCTGGCGCGCCCCTCGCGCTGAAGAGGGGGGGGCCGCAGATCCAAGAAATCCGCGCGGTCCATCGAACATCTGGAGGCGGAGCAGGGGAGATGGTCAGAGCCCCGAACCATTGGGGCGGGGGGTGGTCAGGGGCATCTCCTGATGCCTGCCTTCGGGGCCCACGCCAGAGCTGCCCCTGGCCCCTGACTGGAGCTACCCTGGATAATTCAGGCGTCGAACCCCTCTCGAGACTCTCGGGAGCGGTCGGGGGCAACTCCTGGTTCGCGCGTCGGGGCCCCAGGCTGGAGTTGCCCCAGACGGTAGTTTCATCCCTGACAAGGAGCCCAGACCCCTTCGCGTCGGGAAAGATCAGGACGGGAGTTGTTTCTCCGTTTTCGGTCTCTGGGGGCCCTTTCCATGCCCTGGGACCGTCGAGCAACGACACAGGATGAAAACGTGTCCTGGGATATGAGCCGAGATCTCTGGGGGTCGACGCTGGGAAATAATCTTGACGTCGGGGATCTGAGAACGTACCCACAGATCCTGGCGTTGCAACTTTCTCGCGCCAGGCATTTTCGCCCAGTTTGGGGCCCAGGGCCCTCGCAGATCGATCTGGCTAGAAGAACGGCACAGAAAGATATGGTCTGGGGCTCTAGTTGTGTTTTTGCGACGTTGCATTCTTCTTGCAACGTCGGATCTTAGGGCAGGGGGGTCGAGGATTGCAGGGAAGTGACCATAATAGAGCCTTAAGGGCACATCAACTGTCAGCGCGGACCAAGAGGTGCACAACAGGTGGACTTTTCTTCACCCCATGCTTGCTGCCCCCGTTGACGAACATCCTCAGGCGTGGGCCGGCGCCGCGGGGATAGGTGCCCCGCACGAGACGGGCGGCCAGGACTATGATAATGATAACATGTATAATAATCGCATTAGGTGTGAGAACATGAATAGTACGAAGAACACTGCACCGTCGAAACTAATACCAATGATACAACTGATGAGAACACAACGGAAACGCAAATTAATGCGAATACTGCGAACCCTTTAAATAAAGCTAATCGCACTATCAAGGAAGGGAGCACTCATAATATCCAGAAGCCCTATCGTTTGCCAGTGGCGCTGGCGTTCACCCTCTTTTGATATATATATATATATATAGACATATACATGTGTGTATCCCTTTCTTTCTCGCTCTCCTTCTCTCCTCCGCCTGTCCCCCTCGGAGGGCCCGTTGACAACGGCTTGAAACGTTTTTTTGTTTGAATCGTTCTAGAACGCATCTTCCATATGTTTTCATATTGAAGATGGGAGATCTCAGAGGGCTTATGCCCAGCATTCCTCAAACATGCGGTTGACAGCAACCTTCGTGTGGAGATCGGATATTGGAGATCTCAGCGGACTTATGCCCAGCATTCTTGAAACAGCTTGTTTACAGTCCGTTTGAAGAATAGCTAGCATAAGTTCCATGCAGTCGTCAGTCGTCCATTTTCCAAGGGAGGTGTATTTTTCAAAGAGGCAGTCACCATGTAGTTATATAGTGTTTAAAGACACTTCTCCTCTTCCTCCTCCTCCTCCTCCTCCTCCTCCTCCTCTTCCTCTTTACTCGCCTTCATCCCCTCTGATCCTTCCGACTGCCATCCGCGCTGGAGGAGGCTGATGAGAAAGACCAGACAGGTCACGAGGAGGAGGAGGAGCAGGAGGTGCAAGGCGGATGATGATGATGATGATGATGATGATGATGATGATGATGATGATGATGATGATGATGATGATGATGATGATGATGATGATGATGATGCTGATGCTGATGCTGATGCTGATGCTGATGCTGATGCTGATGCTGATGAGATGATGATGACGATGGTGATGATGGTGAGGCAAAGGAGGATGAGGAGGAGGAGGAGGAGACGCAGCAGCAACGGAGATGATGAGGAGGAACATACCGTCAAGCGCCTGTTAGAAGAATGCTGGGCATATCCCTGCTGATATGTTCAAGCTTTAATATTGAAATAGAGATGTCTTCCTCAAACGGTCAAGCGCCTGCTTGAAGAATGCTGGGCACAGAGGTCCGACGAGATCTTCAATTTTCAATCGTCAAACATATGATGTGTGTCTATTCCTCCCCATCAGCGTTTCAGAACCTTGTAAACCACCCCTTTCTTATTTCACTGTCGTTTATCCTCTCTCATCCTCCTGGATGTCCTCCGGAGCAGGGTGGAAGAGATGCAGGATGGACGAGGAGGAGGCGGAACCGCAATGACAGGAAGGATATGGTCTCCCTGGCAGCGCCGTCGAGCGCATGTTTGAATACTTTCGGGCGGAAGTGCGCTCACGTGTCCAATCTTCAAACGGATGCGAGTTCTTGAGAGAAACTGCCAACAGACAGTTGCTTTCCGTAAGCATATTGGCTCAAGAACTAAACTTGTACGCCAGTCGCTAGGTCCGAGCCGGTGTATGCAATTCGTCAAGGATGGGGGGCTCAGGTCGTCGGCGGACGCGCGAGGCTGGAGTTCTCGAGGACGCGGGCGTCCTTCGACAAGTCGATGATGAACTCGGGTTTGTCTGCTGGTCCTGCAACAATCCGATGGCGGATTCGGGGGGCGGCTTCCGCTGCATGCGTAATGCCTGCAAGGGCACGCCTCGCGTGAACAGTCCAAAAGTTGCGTTTACGCCGCTCGCTGTCCACGCGACTTCTGGCTGGGGCATCGACTGCGTCATGTGTTTGCGCACGGCATACGCGGCTGGTTGACCCCCGGCGACTCCTGCGTTCATTGCGTCCGGCGCGAGGGCGACAGCGTCAGGACTGTGGAAAACAAGGTGCCCCAGTTCTCCAGAAAGCACAGTGTTGCGATGGCGCACTCAGAAGTGCAAGGCCGAGTCCACGACGTTCGATGATGACGTGGTCGAGCCAGACACGTGCCGCGCTGGTTTGCGCAAGAGAGGGGCCTCGGCTTGCACGAGGGCGCACCTGCGGAACACTCTTGTTCTGAAGGGGCGCCGCAAGAAGCAGCGTGCCGCGCGCGCTTCAGGACAGGGAGACAAAGAAGGGCAGAGGCGGATGTGGCCAAAGACCACATCCGAAGTGGAGGGCCATTTGAAGAAGGCGCTGTGGAAAGGGCACCGTGGTCGCGCCCGACGGCAGTCGGGTCTTTCACGGCGCGGCTCAACCCGCTGGGCGCCCAATCCTCCAGGGCGTGAACCACTTGAACAAGATCTTCACGCCCGCCTGCAGGTTGCTCAAGTCCAGGCTGGACGTCGAGACCACCCGCATGCTGAGGGCGCGCACGAAGGGCAAGCGCCCCTTCGTCAGGGAGACGGCGCTCTGCTTCACTCTGCCAGCAGGTGGCGACGCGGCTGAAAGCTTCACGGGCCACCTGAAGAACGCAATGCGAAGGCTGGCCAGCGTCGGCCGCAACATTTCGCCAACCACCTGCAGGAAAAACGTTCAAGCTTTGGCGTCGGCGGTTCTGCTGTGCGCTAAGCAGACTTGGACTCTGTTTAAGGCGCTCTGAAGTTGTGCAGGATTGCTCCGTCCCGTGGCGTCATCGATCTGTCGCCCAAGGGCGCCTTCAATTCCTCGAGCTGCAGCTCGAGGGTGTGCAATTCGCCCTAATTCAGCTGCTCTCGTAGATAATAGACACGCCCAGCTTTGCAACTGCGCCGGGGAAGCGAGGCAACCGTAGGAGTAAGACAACGTCATCACGCATCATCGTCGCCACCCATCATCCGTCATCCTTGCATTGTTTGTATGTGTCTTCAATTTACAATCGGTCGCGCGTGGCCGCTGGCAGACTATAGGGCTTGGCCCGAATAGTATTAGTACGACTAATTACCACAATAATGTTGCGACTTGTGTGTGCTTGCAATCATGCTAATTAACGTTAATAATAGGAAGAAGACGCATCATAGTACGAAGGAGAATGTGAATCTTAGGGCAAGAAGGAGATACCGATGCCGGTGTTCGCGATGGAGAGCCCTCGCCGCCGCGGCAGGATTCCCGCAGGACGTTTGGTCAGAACGCGCCCGCGGAGAGGCCCCGGGAGTAGCAGTATCCTCCGCGTCTGTTGCGCGGTCTTTTGGGGACCTCCTGGGGGCCCAATTGGTTCCACAAAGGTTTCCACGAGGCCCTGTTCGCCCACCCCAGCGAGGCACGTTCGGTAGTCGAATAGTATGAACTCCGTGGCGGGCCTTTGTTGGCCATGCCGTTCGGGGTGCGTTGCGCTGCGATATCTTATCTGGTATGTTCGGGCCGCGCGTGCATCACCAACGTGCGGTTTATTCTTTTGTTGCACCCTCCGGGCGCCATTTCCAGGCCAGGACCGTCAACGACGGATCTGGTGTAAAAAACTACCCTGCGTGGACTCCAGGAAGATTTTGGGAGCCGATTTTGAGCAGAGTTGTTTTCTTAATTTCTTCTACTGGGGCCCCGAGCTCAGACACCCCGACCGCCTCCAAGCCAGTACGTTTTTATGCGTCCCATCGAGGACACCCCCAACGCTTGGCACCCGCAAGCGCGGTCGCCCAGCAGCCCCGCGGCGTTTGATGCCAGCTTCGCCTGGTCGCCCGTTCCCGGCGGGCTGAACGCCAGCGGGCCCTGGCAACGCGTCTCCGCGTCGATGCAGGCTGCCACCCTTCCCGCTCCGCCCCAAATCCCCGACGATTCAAGACGCATTTTTTGTGTTCGAGGCCTCCCAGATGAACGACGCAAGAACACGGATACGTTTGGCGCGTCAGTTGCCAGCGCGAAATCGCGCATAGGCGCCCTCGTGTGCACTGTGGCGTGCCGCGCGCTGGGCCCGCGCAAGCTGCGGCTTAAGCTCGCTATGTCATCCCGCGCAGGACCCTTTTTCTTTTTGTTACGCAGGTGGTGTCCGAGTGGATGGGGCCGGAGGGTCGCACCGAATGGCCGATGCTTTTCTGTTGTTCCTCCTCTGTTTTTGGAAAAGAAACCATGCATAAGGCTTACGCCATTCTTCTGGCATTCCATAGCCGCGGATTCGTTGAGAGTCGTGCCGTTGTGTCTGGCCTGTGGGTCAGGAGCCTTGGGGATGCACACGAGAGCCTCCCAGAATGCTTCTCTGGCGCCGGGTAGAAAGCCTTTGGAGGCATCTGACTGGCTTTGGGGGGCTTCTCGGGGGCCTCTTTGGGGCCTCTTGGGGGCCTCGTGGATGCCTCTTGGAAGCCTCTTGGGGTTTCTCGGGGGCACCTCGGGGGTCGCTGGGGGTCTCTTGGGGCCATCACGTTGGGGGGGGCGTGGCAAGGCCCGAGCGGAAGTTCAGACTTCACGCAAGTCGGGGCTCGGTTTCACGCCTTTTCGGCCCAGCGCTGCTTGCAATGGCGGCGGGTGGGGAAGGGGAAATGCCGTCCAGGTAAAATTAGCAGAATTTGAAGTATCACACGCTGTAACCGCCTTGATGCGTCGTGTTGGAACGTCCAGGTTTAATGTGCTGCGTTTTAATTCAACACGTTCTGGCATACGCTGTGCCGATGGTGTCGTCCTAGACTCATTAGGTTTTCAATGTAAGCGTTGAGCTCCATGTCGACGCGCTGCAGGTTGTGTGTTGCGTATCCTGGCAGCTTCGCCGACGATGTGTTTCTTTCAATCTGGGCGCTTCCCTTGATTTCGGCCTCTGGGGTCCGTTATCGTGACCCGGACCATTAACAATGATTTCATGAACGAAGAAGTACCTTGCAGAAGCGATCCGTACCTCTGGGTTCGTGCATTGAAGCAATCGCTTTGTCGAATGGTTGGTTCCGTGTTCTCTCCGCGGCTGCTGGAGACAGCTGTTTCTTCCCTGGCAGTGACGGGCGTGACCGTGGGGGGGGAAGAGGGGGGGCGGCCAGTCACGTCACGATTCGCGCCAGCGCCCAGCGCCGTCTGGGAGTGCTTGGGGATGGCTCATTCCCACGCCGTGTTGGCGCGAATCGTGACGTGACCAGGAGGGAGGGGGGCAGCAGGGCTGGCCACGGGCGTGCTCGCGAACCATAGACAAAAAGGGCCCCCAGATCTGACGATGCAAAAATGCGACATCGCAAGCATCACCTTGGCATCGCTCGGACGTGTGCCTTTTTCCTTCGGCGGGGACCATCGAGGAGCATCCTTGATCATTTGGCGAAAAAAACACGCACGAAACCGAAAACAAAACACAGGGAATCGACGTCCGAGCGATGGCGAGTGCAAACATGCGACATCGCAAGCATCACCACTGGTGCCCTGGACCCCATCGTGCTGCGCCATCTTCCGAGCCGGATCCATCCGCGCGGGCCGCGGGGCCCGACACTGGGCGACATTGCCCTCTGAGCGTCGTTGCTCGAGGCGGACCGATCTGTGAGGGTCAGTGCTGGGGTCCGAAGGCCCGGGCGAGAGCGCCTTTCGTGGAAGGATGGCAGCGCCAGGATCGCAGGGACGGGCGTGCCCAGACATCCGGCCGCTCCAATTTTTTTCGACGCGTGGGTCCCGGAGGTCCGGACCACTTCCCCTGGGCCAGATTCTCGTCCTGAGTCGTTGTTTGACGGCCCCGAGGCCCAGCGAGGGCCCCTGGAGGCCGAAAATTGCCTATTTCCCGCCGCTCCAATGTTTTTGGAGCGTCGGATCTCTGGGTGATGATCGCTGATGGGCCTGTTTTCCACCACCACCACCAATAAGTTGGAGGGGGAGGGGGTCCTCCTCCTCCTCCTCCTCCTCCTCCTCCTCCTCCTCTTCGTCCTCCTCCTTGTCCTCCACCTCCTTCCCCCCTCCAACGAATGGTGGTTGTGGTGGAAAACAGGCCCAGCAGTCGCGCAGAATATACAAAGCAAAAGCGGGCCCCAGCGCGTAAAAAGGCAGCGGCCGTGGACGGAGCGCAGCCCTCGGCGTGCGGCCTCCCGGGGGCCCCGGGGGCGGACCAGCGGACCGGCCAGAACCATCTCCCTGCCCTTGAGCTTGGCATTACCTCCAGGGAGGATGGACCCCTGAGACACATAGTGATCCCTGTCCCATCCCCATCCACATCCACATCCACATCCACATCCCCATCCCCATCCCCATCCCTATCCCGATCTCCATCCCCATCCCCCTCATCTCCCTGAGACACTTCCCTGTCCCTGTCCCTATCCCCATGACTAACTCCGACAGTTGGCGTTTACTACACGGCCCGGGGCGTTTACTAAACAGCTCCGCCTTGGTCGATCCCTTCTCTGGGTGCGTTTGCTAAACGGCTTCGCTTGTCGGGGTGCTTATTATTGGGGTGGAGGTTCTGGCCTCGATTACCTTATCTTGCTGCCGATCTCAAGGGCTTCATCTGTTTCTGAGGGTGCATCTCCCCGAGAGTGTCATCGCCTTTTTTGGGCTTGATCTGTTAGGGACATCGGCGGGCCCTCTCAGAAGGCGGCGGGACTTTTCAGAATGCCCGCTGGTCCTCTCAGAAGCCGTCTCTCTCTCTTCGGGGACGGCTTAGATCGACTGCACGTAAGAGTGACCCTTCGCCTGAGTGACCTTTGGTGCTGGCCCAACGGGATCCCCCGATCGCCGAAAGCGATGTGACAGTAGCATCTTGCGCGCTTGTGTGTTGGCCCCTCCCGCGCCCCCCCAAAAATGCCACGCGCCGAAGGTCACTCTTGCCCAGGTGTTGTTGATGGGCCTGTTTTCCACCTTTCCACCACCACCACCATAAGTTGGAGGGAGAGGGGATCCTCCTCCTCCTCCTCCTCCTCTTCGTCCTCCTCCTCCACCTCCTTCCCCCCCAACTTATGGTGGTGGTGGTGGAACACAGGCCCAGCAGTTTTTCTTGCGTGTAGCCGAGACTCGACGACTCCTCAGAAGGCCGGAGAACCTCCGAGGCTTCCGAGGAGGCCCGCCCTTTGGCTCCCGGGCTCGCATCCGAGGACGGGGATCGGGGAGAGGCTGCTTGCGAGCCCGAGCGCGCGGGCCGCAAGCTCGTCGCCTCGCGTGCGGCCACGGGCGGGCCGTGACACCCCTTACGGCTACTTCTGCCCAGGGGCACTCCACGACGACGACGACGACGACGACGACGACGGCGACGGCGACGGCGACGGCAACGCCGACGACGACGACGACGACGACGGCGTCGACGACGACGACGACGACGACGACGGCGACGACGGCGGCGGCGGCAACGACGACGACGCCGACGAGGACGGACGACGACGACGATGCTACCTTTGGCCAGGTGCACTCCCTTGAGATCCAATGTCGCGAAAGTGTTGAGTTATTCTGAAAGTCACGCGGCCGCGACCCAAGGGGGAGGTACCCCCAGATCCGGGCATTGCAATTTTTCACCCGGTGTTTTTGCTCGGTTTCGGGCCTCTGGACCCTCACAGGTTGATCCGGCTCGAAAAATGAAGGTGGGGTCCAGGCTTCCATGGGTTATTTTTTGCGATGGTGGATCTTTGCTGGCAACGTCAGATCTGAGGGTAGTGAAACTTGAGTGGGGAGGCATTCCAAGAGGCGGCGGGGCATCTCAGAAGCCCTCTGGCCTTCTCAGAAGCCGTCTGTGTCTTCGGTAAAGGCTCAGAAGCCGTCTGTGTCTTCGGGGAAGGCTTAGAAGACTTTTTAGAAGGCCCGAGGCCTTCCGAGTCTTCTGAGAAGGCCCGTCCCCTATGATTTCCCCCTGGGCTCGACGCCGAATCATGACAGGAGCCCCCGACCACAACCGTCTGCGGCATCTCTCGAGCCAAATCAATATATGAACGTCCCGGGTCCCGACAGCAGGCGAACCAATGCCCACTGGTCACCTTCACTGGACCCCGCCTCGCCACCAGGAGGCTGCGCGGAGCTCACTGCCGACCTCTCGATCGAGGATGTACGGCAGCTGGTGGCCCTCGCCAAGAAGTCCAAGTCCAGCGGGTTGGCCTCATACTACGAGCAACTGCTGGTGCCCAAGCAGAAGCAGCCCTCGGCGCAGCAGAGGGCAGACCGCTGCTGGAAGGCCATCAAGTCGCTGGAGGTGGGGATCAAGGAGCAGAGCGGCGTCATCATGGGCTTGCAGAAGCAGATCGAGGACCACAAGACAGAACTACGCGCTTCCCGGAATCCCTGGACCAGATGGGGGTGCAGGAGAACCAGTACAGGGACGCAATCACGGAGCTCCATGCCGCTCCGGTGCCGCGGGCTCCAGCAAAACCCACTTTCCACCTCCAGGACCTGCTGGCAGGTGATGCGACGGGGTGGGAACCCACCTGCGGAGAAGACCTGTTTGGCTTGGCAGAGTTCCAGGATGTCTCGGATGCGGGTCGTGCCGAGGCGAAAACCAGAGAGGAGGAACTCAAGCAGCGGTTCCAGGAGACGGCGCAGCAGCTCTTCGGCGAGCCGAGAAAGCAACGCAAGAGCAGGACGTGCTGCGCGCGCGCCTGCAGCAGACCAAGAGGCGCCGAGGACCCGACGAGCCCAGCGCCGCCGCCGCCTCATACGCCCCGCCGACGGCAGCAGCCGCGTCAGGCGACGGGCAGTCAGAGGCGGCCCAGGACGTGCCAGCACCTGAGGAGGAGGACGTCGCCCCGGCGTCAGAGGACTGCAAAGCCAAGGCGTTGCGCATCTTCAACCGCGCCATCGCCGCTGAGGGCAAAGGCAAAGGGCCTGGAGCGGGCAAAGGATGCGAGCCCAGTGCAGGACGGCAGCAGTCCT